TTTAAAAATCGGCACTGATATACACTTCATATTGCGAAAAAAATTCGTAAACCGAGGCATTATTTTCAATGTATTTTCATTCGTAAACCGAAAATCACGTTAACCAAGGCGTTTGTAAACCAAGGTGTTACTGTATTTTTATTTAATTGAGTTCTGATGCACTTTTTGAATTGCTAGTTAAAGAGACAGCGCACTTTTTTTGGGGGAAGACTCCTCTTAGTATTGACTCAATGACGATGAGGTTTATGGAGAGAAAGGCAATGAGCTGCTGTAAAATCAGAGGGCTAGTTTACATGGGAAACGTTTCTATGCATTTTGCAGAAAAGGCAAGCATGCTGCAAATGGCATGCTGCATTTTCCTACATCACTTGACATAGTCTCATTCAGGCTTCATTATAGAAAGAGATACTTGAACCCCAGGCATCTTAGTGTATGTCAAACAGCATGGCAAGATATATTTTATAGTGTGAATGGGCCCTGCGGTACAGTATAGTGGAAAAGTGAGTTATAAACTGTTTCCACCAGGATTTCTATGTATTGCCTTGACCCTGTCTTGCAATAAAAAGACCCTTATTTTCAGATACAATATTGTTGCTATATGTAGATAAACAATAGTGGTTTATATTCTTTAGTATTATATAGCTTAATTCTTACAAAAATAAAAAAAATGTGTATGACTGTTTACAGTGCCTTGAAAAAGTATTCATACCCCTGAAAATTTTCCACATTTTGTCATGTTACAATCAAAAACGTAAATGTATTTTATTGGGATTTTATGTGATAGACCAACACAAAGTTGTCAAGTGGAAGGAAAATCATAAATGGTTTTCAAAATTGTTTACAAATAAATAACTGAAAAGTGTGGTGTGCTTTTGTATTCAGCCCCCTTTACTCTGATACTCCTAACTAAAATCTAGTGGTACCAATTGCCTTCAGAAGTCACCTAATTAGTAAATAGACTCCACCTTTGTGTTATTTAATCTCAGTATAAATACAGCTGTTCTGTGAAGCCCTCAGAGGTTTGTTAGAGAACATTAGTGAGCAAGCACATCATGAAGGCCAAGGAACACACCAGACAGGTCAGGGATAAACTTGTGGAGACGTTTATAGCAGGGTTAGGTTATAAAAAAAAATCCCATGCTTTGAACATCTCATGGAACACTGTTCAATCCATCATCCAAAAATTGAAAGAGTATGGCACAACTGCAAACCTACCCAGACTGGGGCGGAGGTTCACCTTCCAGCAGGACAACAACCCTAAACTTACAGCCAGAGCTACAATGGAATGGTTTAGGCCAAAGCATATTCATGAGTTAGAATGGCCCAGTCAAAGTCCAGATCTCAATCCAATTGAGAATATGTGGCAAGACTTAAAAATTGCTGTTCACAAATGCTCTGCTTCCAATTTGACAGAGCTTGAGCTATTTTGCAAAGAAGAATGGGCACAAATATCACTCTGGATGTGCAAAACTGGTAGAGACATACCCAAAAAGACTTGCAGCTGTAATTGCAGTGAAAGGTGGTTCCACAAAGTATTGACTGGGGGCTGAATACAAAATGCACGCCACACTTTTCACATATTTATTTGTAAAAACATTTTAAAACCATTTATCATTTTCCTTCCACTTCACAGTTATGTGCCACTTTGTGTTGGTCTATCACATAAAATCCCAATAAAATACATTTACGTTTTTGTTGTAACATGACAAAATGTGGAAAATTTCAAAGCTTATGACTACTTTTTCAAGGCACTGTATAGTGGTAGTTTTACTGTCTTCATGTTATTAGAATAAGTGAGGCATTCATCGCAAAATATATTTATTGTAGTGTTTTTATATTTATTTTTCCCAAAACAAAAATATTATAATTATATTTACCTGTACGTTTCAATTGTAAATATTTCCTGTATTCATTAATATATGTTTCCTCCACATTACCCTGCCTACCTTTATAAATCCCAAGGTTGTAATTTCAATGCTCTCCTAATTCTCCATTGTGATCACCACCAGCCATGCCTGCAGTACTGGCCAGACAGTGGAATCTCCAGATATGGACCAATGGAAGTTCAGTTTGTGTCTGGTTCTGTAGATGAAGATATTGTAACTCGTCTGTTCCGAGTGCAAAACATAACAAGGGTGAGTTGCCAGTATAGCTTTGTACATATACAGTAGATTCCAATTTAAACTGCTCAGTTTTAGTTTGTTCTGTCTAGTAAAAAGAAGTGTTTACTTTTTGCAATACCTTTTTACCCATAAATTGCTTAATTGCAAAATTAGGGGAGTAGAACTAGGATGGATAGGTACCTTTTAAAATCCGTTCGCTCAGATGTCAGGTTATTGGGTGGCTGCAACAGCAGGAGTAAGCCAGCCAGTTAAATATGCATGATATATACAATATCTCACAGAAGTGAGTACATCCTCACATTTTTGTAAATATTTTATTATATCTTTTCATGTGACAACACTGAAGAAATTACACTTTGCTACAATGTAAAGTAGTGAATGTACAGCTTGTATAACAGTGTAAATTTGCTGTGCCCTCAAAATAACTCAACACACATTCATTAATGTCTAAATCGCTGGCAACAAAAGTGAGTACACCCCTAAGTGAAAATGTCCAAACTGGGCACAATTAGCCATTTTCCCTTCCTGATGTCATGTGACTCGTTAGTGTTACAAGGTCTCAGGTGTGAATGGGGAGCAGGTGTTTTAAATTTGTTGTTATCGCTCTCACTCTCTACATAAAGATGGACTAGGCTATAAAAAGATTGCCAAGACCCTGAAACTGAGCTGCAGCACTGTGGCCAAGACCATACAGCGGTTTAACAGGACAGGTTCCACTCAGAACAGGCCTTGCCATGGTCGACTAAAGAAGTTGAGTGCACGTGTTCAGCGTCATATCCAGAGGTTGTCTGTGGGAAATAGACGTATGAGTGCTGCCAGCATTGCTGCAGAGGTTGAAGCGGTGGGGGGGTCAGCCTGTCAGTGCTCAGACCATACGCCGCACACTGCATCAAATTGGTCTGCATGGCTGTCTTCCCAGAAGGAAGCCTCTTCTAAAGATGATGCACAAGAAAGCCTGCAAACAGTTTGCTGAAGATAAGCAGACTAATGACTTGGATTACTGGAACCATGTCCTGTGGTCTGATGAGACCAAGATAAACTTATTTGGTTCAGATGGTGTTAAGCGTGTGTGGCGGCAACCAGGTGAGGAGTACAAAGACAAGTGTGTCTTGCCTACAGTCAAGCATGGTGGTGGGAGTGTCATGGTCTGGGGCTGCACAAGTGCTGCCGCCACTGGGGAGCTACAGTTCATTGAGGGAACCATGAATGCCAACATGTACTGTGACATACTGAAGCAGAGCACGATCCCCTCCCTTCGGAGACTGGGCCACAGGGTAGTATTCCAACATGATAACGAACCCAAACACACCTCCAAAACAACCACTGCCTTGCTAAAGAATCTGAGGGTAAAGGTGATGAACTGGCCAAGCATGTCTCCAGACCTAAACCCTATTGAGCATCTGTGGGGCATCCTCAAACGGAGAGTGGAGGAGCGCAAGGTCTCTAACACCCACCAGCTCCATGATGTCGTCATGGAGGAGTGGAATAGGACTCCAGTGGCAACCTGTGAAGCTCTGGTGAACTCCATACCAAGAGGGTTAAGGTAGTGCTGGAAAATAATGGTGGCCACACCAAATAATGACACTTTGGGCCCAATTTGGAAATTTTCACTTAGAGGTGTACTCACTTTTGTTGCCAGCGGTTTAGACAGTAATAGCTGTGTGTTGTTATTTTGAGGGGACAGAAAATTTACACTGTTATACAAGCTGTACACTCACTATGTCACATTGTAGCATAGTGTCATTTCTTCAGTGTTGTCACATGAAAAGATATAATAAAATATTTACAAAAATGTGAGTGTTGTACTCACTTCTGTGAGATACTGTACATGCCTTTCTGGCACCTACTTTCCATGGCCATTGCAACTGCTTAAAATGATACAGCATGGCACGCCTTTGGTGTGAAATGGGTATGTATGAACTTTTCAGAGACGGCATTTTAAAAATTTGAAAACATTGAGCAATGTTTGTGAAAGTTAATGGTGTTTAGGTGAGAAGTTCAATGTAAACTGCAGATAGTGCCTGGCATCATTTATAGAGGGATTAGCTACAGAAAAAATTGTCCAAAAGAACCCAGTTAACAACAGATCTTTCTTTTGGGTCAGTGGGTCATATAAACCATGAATGAAACCCCTTTCAAATATTTAAACTAGAGTTTAATTTTATATTATTCTCGAAATAAGTGGAATTAGCTAAATATGTTTTATGGACTCTTTTAGACAGTCTACAGATAACGAAATGTAAATTTTGTACTGGAAATTCAAAAAGAAAAATACATTTAAATATTCCAGTACTAAAAACCATCATCTTTTGAACTCTTGATAGGAATGTAAAGTATATTCTATTTATGAGTCACTGCCCTAGAATACATTAAATTGGAATTCTTTGATAGACAATCTTTTCAAGTGTTTGCGTTGTGTAGTGCTTATCTGAAATTTGCATGCGGTCAGTGTAGCTGATGCTTCAGGTTTTCTCTGTATTTTCTCTGTATTTATCTGTCTTCTTGGCTGTTTGACATGTAGGTTCGATTTGTACATTGATTTTCTGTAGACCATGTCTGATTATTTTTTGATACATTTGCTTAGAAATGCAGCTGTTGTAAGAACTTAATAGACACTAATGGTTCAGTGATTTTATGTTTGTATGTGTGTGCATATATATATATATATATATATATATATATATATATACTGTTGGCGCTATATAAATCCTGTATAATAATAATGAGATATATATATATATATATATATATATATATATATATACACACATACACACACTTTATTGCCAAAGGTATTGGGACACCCCTCCAAATCATTGGATTCAGGTGTTCCAATCACCTCCATGGCCACATGTGTATAAAATCAAGCACCTAGTCATGCAGACTGTTTCTACAAACATTTGTGAAAGACTGGGCCACTATCAGGAGCTCAGTGAATTCAAGCATGGGACCATGATACGTTGCCACCTGTGCAATAAGTCCATTCATGAAATTTCCTTGCTACTAAATATTCCACGGTCAACTGCTAGTGGTATTATAACAAAGTGAAAGCAACTGGGAACAACAGCAACTCAGCCGTGAAGTGGTAGGCCACATAAAATGACAGAAGGGGGTCAGCGCATGATGAAGCACACAGTGCGCAGAAGTCGGCAACTGTCTTCAGAGTCACTAAGTAAAGACCTTCAAACATTGTGTGGCCTTCAGATTATCACAACAACAGTGCATAATCAGCTTCACAGAATGGGTTTCTGTGGCCGAGCAGATGCATCCAAACCTTACATCACCAAGTGCAATGCAAAGTGTCAGATACAGTGGTGTAAAGCACACCGCCACTGGACTCTGGAGTGACAAATCACGCTTCTCTGTCTGGCAATCCGATGGACTTGTCTGGGTTTGGCAGTTGCCAGGAGAATCGTACTTGCTTGACTGCATTGTGCCAAGTGTGTTTTTTTTTCCCTGCAGGAGCAAATTGGATCATGCTTTGCTGGTTTTTTTTTGTCTTCCTCTGGATCAACTGTGGGTATAGGATTATAACCTTTTTTTTTTTTATGGTTGAACTGGATGGACTTTTGTCTTTTTTCAGCCAGACTAACTATGTAACTATGTAAGTGTAAAGTTTGGTGCAGGGGGGATTATGGTGTGGGGTTGATTTTCAGGGGTTAGGCTTGGCCCCTTAGTTCCATTGAAGGGCGTTGGCATACCAAGACATTTTGGGGAAGTGCACCTTTGGGGAATCCTTTGGTAAATCTATCAAGGAAATAACTGGGAGAAAAGGTACTCTTTCCATAAGAAAAAGCCTAGGTTTTCCTACTCCTACAGCTACTACCTCTTACTGTTCTCTCCAAGCTTCAACCTCAAAACCAAGGCTTAACCAATCCTTGTTACAAGCCCTGGCCCACCAAACCTTCCAGAAGCCCTCCTCACAATGAAGGGGTACCCCTACTTCTCAGAGTGGTTGGGATGTTTGTTGGCAATTTCTCCAGTCTGGACCAAGAGGTCCTTGACCGCTGGTTCCAACCTGTCATTTTAGAGTGGCACAAATAGTATTTCTTTCTCTGTCCTCTCCTCACCTTTTTACCTTCAAATCTGCCAGGTTAATGCCAAAAAAAGGCAAATTTGATGATTGCCTTGCACCAACTTCAGCCACAAGGAGTGGCTGTACAAGTTCCTTCAGAAGAACAGTTACAATCCAGAACCAAACGGTGCCATCCACCCAATATTGGGCCTAAAACCCCTAAACAGATTTCTTTGTTTTCCAAAATTGAGAATGGAGTCTACTAGATCTGTCATTGGTTCCTCAGAGAGTTTCTTGCATCAGTAGATATACAAGATGCCTATCTCCATATTCCCATTTTCCCATCACACAAACGGTATCTACATTTTTCTGTGAGAGACCAGCACTTCCAGTTTGTGGCACTGCCTTTCAGGCTTTCCTCTGCACCTTGAGTGTTCACAAAGGTGCTTGCCCTGCTTCTGACTCTTCTATGAACACAGGGCATTCATGTCACAGGTTACCTGGATGAAGGACTCCTCATCCTCCTCATCTGCCAACGTCCAAAAGCCCATCCAGTTTCTGCAAACCATTGGCTGGATAATCAACTTTCCAAAGTCTGCTCTCCAGACCTCATATTGTCTGGAGTACCTTGGTCTAATCTTGGACACAGCCCAAGCCAGAACCTTCCTTCCTCAGGAGAAGATTGCCTCTCTAAGGTCCAGCTCTTGGACTTTTAGACCACAATGACATCCCTTAATTTGCTGCTGCCTTGAGATTCTGGGCCGCATGGTGGTCTTTTTTGAGGCAGTTCCCTTTGCTCATTTCATACCCCTTAAATCCAATATTCTTGAAACATGGAACAAGCTGATTCAATCCTTGGATAGCCCAATGCTTATATCCAGTCAAACTGAGATCTCTGTGACGTGGTTGATATTTAACTCTGCTCTGGAACTGGGAAAGTCATTCCTTCACAGAACATGGAACATGGTATTGACAGATGTGAGTCTTGCAGGTTGGAGTGAAGTCAAAATTCTCCAATACTCTGGAACTTAGAACTATCAGATTGTCTCTACAACATTGGACAAGGTCACCCAATCAGAGAACAGTCAGACAATGCCACAGCAGTGGCCTACATAAATGACCAAGGGGGCAGCAGAAGCTTAGCAGCTCTAAAAGAAACAAGTCTAATACTCTAATTGGCAGAAACTTACATTCCAGCTTTCTCAGCCATCTACATACCTGGAGTTTACAATTGGTAGCTGAATTGCCCAAGTTTTCGATACCTAGACCTTGGAGAGTGGTATCTCCACCCCAAGATATTTCAAAAGCTCTGTCAAAGATGGGGAAAACCATATGTTGACATCCTGGTCACCAGATTAAACATCAAGTTGAACATCAATTTGAACAAGTTTGTGATTAAGACCAGGGATTCTCTAGCCTTTACGGTAGATGCTCTAGAAGAAGAGGAAAGGGTTCCAATGATTCTGATCACAGCAAATTGGCATAGAAAAACATGGAGCACAGACTTACTCAGACCTCTGGTGATTGAGTCTTCACCTTTTCCTCACCTTTTCCAATCAGACCAGACTTACTGGCCCAAGCCCCCTGCTCCATCCTGCTTCTCTGGCTGTCTTTAATGGCATGACTGTTGAAATCTAAGTCCCAAAGGACAGGTTTATCTCTGATTCAGTTATTCCCATATTACTTTGAGCAAGGAATTCCAACTTCCGCAAGATTTACCATAGCACATGGAAGGCTTACTTTGCATGGTGTGAGGACAGGAGACCTAATCATAACGAATAATTTATTGTATGTATTATGGCCTTTCCTCAGTCTCGCCTTAAGTGCCTGGCCATGAGTACCCTCAATAGACAGGTTTCTGCCTTATCCATCGTCTTCCAGACACTTCTTGCCTCACAATCTCTTATCTAGACTTTTCTACAGGGAGGTTCTCATATTATTCTTCTAATTTGACCTCTTGTGCCAACTTGGGATCTCAACTTGTGCTTTTCAGAGACCTCCCTTTTAACCAATTCAAGATATTCTGTTGGGTCTCATCACTTCTGTTGTGTGTTTCTGAGCTAGTAGCCTTTCCTTGTTTTGTGCATAGACAAGATGATTTTGTGACCAAAGGCTTCCTTTTTACCTAACAGAGTCTTCTCTTTCTACCTCAGTGTGGACATTGCCCACCCTTTCTCTGTCCTACCCCAAGATATGACTAGGAAATAGACCTACATTTCCTGGATGTGTTCAGGGTTGTTACGTTCTACCTAAAAGCTACAGCCTCTATTCTTGAGTCCCTCTTTGTCCCACTCATGGGCCCTCATAAAGGATCCGTGCTTCCCACTCCACCATTGATCAAACAACTCATTTGCTGGATCTACACCCTTAAGGAAAAGTTTCCTCCTGTCCGCATCATAGCCCAATCCTCCAGTTCTGTTGGTGTTTCTTGGTTTTTTCAGCATCAAGTAAATGTGTCAAGGTCGCCTTCTGGTCCTCCATTGACACATTTTCAAGTTTTACCAGGTGAACTTTTAGGCCTCCGAGGGAGTCAGCTTCAGCCACAAGGTACTTCAGGCTGTTATCTGAGTATTTTGTTCAAGTTCTGAAAACCCTTGTATATCATGTGAGTCTCTTAGCAGTTCTATGTTGCTATGTTTTTGACCACCAAGTTTTATTGCTTGTGTACATCTTTCCTGTATCCTGTACTGCAAAATTAAGATAAAAGGAATTTTGATTTACCTGTAAATTCGTTTTCTTGGAGTACTGTACAGGACATAGGTCCCTCTCCTTATTGCTTGCTAAAAATTTGGGGTCTCACAGAGTTGGCGGGCTTATATTGTCCACCCTGGGGTGGCCCTAGCAAAAATTATTGCCAGTGTCCAATCACCTGAAGGTAGCAGCATACAACCATTGATCTATGAATACCGGTATGTACTGTATGCCAAATAAGGAATTTACAGGTAAGTCAAAATTCCTTTCTTATTATTTGGTACTACACTCTTTGTTCTGTGACTCCCCAGCGTGAATATTAAACTCCATGCTACATAGAAATAAAATTGTACCATTACTACCATAACATTGTATTGAATTCCTGGGATATTAGCAGCTTGTTAGTATTCCCTTGGGGAATTGATAAACACACATCTTCATTTGATATGCATGTCTCCCAATACCACAAGTGCAACACTTTAGTTGAAAGACTTAAATTGATACAAAACCCAAAGCATACTTGTAGGGCAATTAGGTCCCTACTGAAACTGACTTCACTGTTCCCTTAAGAACACAGGCTGTGATCTAGGGCAGACAAGCTGGTGGTACACAGCCTCACACATTGTGTTTGCTGTCTGGTTGCATAACACTTGCACCCAATGTAATGCTGCATTGGCATAAAAAGTCTAGTTATCATTTCTAGGTGTAATGATACATAGTGGGCATATTGTCCTCCCAGCCTCACCACCTCCAACTGCGACGTGCTGGGTGCTGCTTATGTCCATCCAGTCACTGCAGTAAGAGGTGGGTACAACTCAGTAGGCCCAAAGCGAAAAGAAGTATAAAACTGACCCTGCATGAGAATAGAGAGGAGGAGGAAGCTAGCAATATCATCTGAGGTGGGAGATGAAGTACGAACATTTATTTGCCATGTCGCGAGGTAAAAGTGCCTGCAGAGCTCAATCTCAGTCTTCACGGGACTAAGATCAAGCTCTGCAGTCACTTTTGCAGCAGTTATTTTCTCATTCCTGTGCAATGTCCTTTTGCCTGTTTTGGTCAGTTGACTGATCTTATGCTTATCAGACTACGTTTTCCCAGCAACTGCATATGCCGTCATAACCTTTGATCCTGTACCTCGTGACACAGAGGCACCAGCTAAGCAGGCACCAAAAATTTGACCTTTTTGAAGCTCACTAAGCTCCGTATTACTAGCAGTGCACACAGTGAGTCACACAAGTGAGGTACAGGGAGAATATGCAAACTCCAAGTAGGTAGTATTATGGATGTGTGTATAACAGTTTCCTTGTTGCCTTCACCAGGCGAATGTACCATTTCCTAGCATTTGACCATAAGAGTTAACATTCACCAATAGAAAAAGCAACCTAACACAATAAGTTAAGAACATTCAACCAGCAGAAGAAATATTGCAGGAGATTTCTGAACTGTTTACAGTCTATGGAGAATTCTGTGTGATTGTTCAAACTTATGGGTGTTCAGCCAAGCAAACCTCCAGCTGCAGTGTGAAGCAAAACATTTGGCAGTGGTATGAGTAAATGTAACATGTTACCATGTGCTATGGTAAATGTAATAGTTTCATCCTGGTTGTTAGCGAGCGGGCACCTACCAGCTCCCTAGC